GTTGCAATTACATGTCACTTCAATAAAAAAATTCAAAAGCTATTTTTCTATATTGATTATAACAAGATATTAATTTCTTTAATTTTTTGGAATAAATGTAACATTAATAAGTTTAAAAATAAAACTTTCTATTGAAGGATATAGATTTGTTGATATTACTTATAACTTCAGGCGTAAAACCCTGCCCCTGTTAGCCATTTAAACTGCTTATGTTGCTTTTGAAGTTACTCCTTCAAGTGTCGACTTGTTCGTCCTAAGTTAAAAATTGGACGTCTACTTTACAATATCGTGTAAAAATATTTCTCGTCTTAGGAACTCTTTTTTTAAAATAAAATCAGAATACTTTTTTAACATTTTCGAAAATTTGTAAAACCTTTATTACATCAATCTATCGAACAAAAAAATTAATCACATTCCTCTATTCTTTGATATTAGTAATTATTTTATTTAGTACTGAATTTCATATCTAACTTTAAATCTGAAATTGACGTTTTCTTTTTTTATTCGCTAATTAGCAAGGTATTTTTTTCGTATTCTATTCGAAAGTGCTACAATGTTTTAGTTGAAATTTACAATGTAATATAAATTTCATCATAACAGACTTGATTATAAAACTGTGAAATATTTCCAAATGAACATTTCTTTTTTTATTCAGAAAATATACTATTAAATTTTTAATAAAATTATGATTTTTAATCTGAAAAAGTAAAACTAATCTACTAGATTCTCTCATTCTTATGAACATGATCAATTTCTTTACTATCAGCAAAATTAAATATCCAATTTAAATATTTTTGTAAAATACTCGATAGTTTTACTTTTTTTTGTCGGACGTAGGCAGAGTAAACTCTGCAGCCAGTGGCCCCTGCGAAATCAGGTATCCCACCGTAACCGTCGTTGGACATCACTTCGGTGGGGGGAAAAAAATATTCGATATTGGGCAAAACTAATTGTAAGTTTTATGAATTTTTTATATATTTTTTTAAATTGCATATCTCTTTTGTAATTTCAACTTGTAATATCTAGGAGCTACATAAAGTTATTAAAGCGCCACACTTTTAATTGAACAATATTTCCCTGAAAATTGTCACACGAGGATAGAAGTTAGTTTGAACTCGTTAAAGTTAATCGTAATATACTATCATTTTTATTTCCGTAATATGGATTGAGACGTTGAAACTGCTGTTATCATTATAACGCAATTTTTGGCTTTATAAAGTCATGATTAACATTTTAAATTATAAGTTTCAGCGCAGAAAATATCATCGAAAACTTGAATATTTTCAAATTAAAGAATCGATTATTACCCCTGTAAAATAAGATGTTCCCATTTATAAAGTTCATATGTACGTATTATTTGATCTTTATAAATAACGTTTTGCATTACGTTTTGAACCACCTTTACTATCTATGCAAAATACTGAATGGAACATTGATAACATTTCGAAATTTTTAGGATATTTTTTTTAAAGATATAACACTTTTTGACGAAGAATTGGACGACATCATAATGTTTTAGATCCATACTAGAATTCGAATATCATTTGTGATTGAAAAAATTAAAATTTTAAAAACCAAAAGCATTACATAACTGATGAGTGCCAAGCATTGAAAGCAAAATCATATATCATAAAGAAATTTTATTCTTGATTTTATGCTTTTCCGTGGATCTCGTGGATCTTCCTTAGTAAGTCGGGCTCATAAATGAGATCTACAATTTTAATTAATGAAATGACTATGGAACAAAATCATGGTTGCCTTCACGTTTATTGTGTTTTAAAAAGTTTGCTTTATATTTTTTCCGGTTAAATTTTACAAATAAGCTACAACAAAAAATTTTGTGATGCACAGAATTAGAAAAAAAAATCACAAATTTCAACCTTCGCCCTTTTTGCGTTTACAATCACACTTGTAACTCATAGCAGTGCTTGCTGTTGAGAAGATCGATGCTGCCCGCAGCCATCAAAATGCCGGCATTGGCGCACGCCCACAGAATAATCGATATAGCACGCGTGGACTCGTAAAAGCCGAACCGACTTTAATCGAGTGCTATCAAAGGGATCTGACGTTAAAACGATGAGGCGACGATTTCATTCTCGCGCAGCTTTGAGTTATAACGAATGAAGATTAGATTTACATGCGCTTACTATAACAAGTAGGTGCCAAAGAGAGAGAGAGAGGTAAAATAAACGATAGGAGAATTTTTCGAAGATACTCCAACCTAATTGTATAATGATAAATTTCACTCGCCGGTGATTTCAGTTTACAAACTCTTGATCTCGATTAAAAAATTAAAAAATTCAGGCGTTTCACGATTTATTTTTAAGAATAATATTTGTATATCAAATAACAACACTCAAGAATTATTTGACCAAATTTAACAAGTTTTGTTCTCTTTGTTTCAGGTAAGGCAAATCAGTCCCAAAAATCGTATTACACTATTTCAACATTTAACGGTAAGAGTTATTAATGGTTAACAAATTCATTAATATTATTAAATTTATATAAATGACTTTCAATTACTTTAAATCAAAAAGCTTTCTTTAGCGTTTCAAAATATTACTTGTTCCGTTTTTTTAATCATGAATAATTATTTCCTCAATTATGATTATTTTAGTATTATTTTAAGGGAAAACTCGTTGACGTACCAATTTGCTGAAGGCAATTCTTCAAAATTTTAAAAGCAATTAAATCCAATTTATAGACCTATCTGTAACAAGCGAAAAGTTTAATACATTTTACTTTATGCAATCGAATTTAGTCAGTGATGATCCATTTAAGTTTCATGCTAATCGTACAGGAGGTCTGTACCCCATATTTTAACCTACAAAGTCGAAAAATTTGTTTAATTTATATCTTTTTTTCTAAATCGAAAATCGAAAAACGGCTCTATGGGAACCTTCATTTTGTTGCTGTGAATATCTGTTAAAATTTTGAGTTAATTCCACCGACCAGATTTCCCGGAAAACGTGTTTGAAAATTTTAAGCCGAGGAAACGGGTGTAAATTTCAAACACGTTTTCCGGGATATGTGGTCGGTGGAATGAGCTAAAATTTTTACCAACTATTGAGAGCAACAAAATGAAGGTTCCCATAGAGCCGTTTTTCGATATTCGATTTAGAAAAAAATATATAAATAAAACAAATTTTTCGGCTCTGTGGGGTACAGACCACCTTAATTACTACAGTTTCCGAACAACAAATTGCACGATAATTTATATCGTATTAAGCGCTTTGCTCGGGTGCTAACCGTGCCGTGCAATAATGGCCTGCTTAAGTCACACGTATCATAATATACTATTTTTATTGCGTTGATTCTCGCCTTGAAACTTTTAACCTCAAAGAATTTTTTAATATCTGCACATATATCTGTAAAGTGGCTATAAAAATCTTTCAACAACATAAGTAAAGTTGAATTTAAAAAAAATTCATTTTGTTTCTAGATTTGTAGTCGATAGTATAATTTATTTAAATACAATTATTTTCACATTCTTCCTTCTGTTTGTACATTAATTCAAATTGTACCTTTTTCCCATTCAACTTGAATCGTACAAAAAAAACAAAACGAAATTCACCTCCCATTTTAATTTTAATAAATATATCGATCTTTGAAAAACATCCCCAGCTACAATTACACAAGACTCTGATTAAAATAATTTTATAAAATCACTATGTTAGATGCTCTTTTTGAACCTTTTGAAAGTCTAACAATTAAAATTAGGAAAATTAAAATATGTATAGCTATTCAGATTTCATTGACTTATGAATTCTAAAGAGTCAATCATATTTGATTTAATTTTAAAATAATTTTAACTAAAGTATTTTTATAATTGTGTCCGGGAATTATTTTCAAGCAATATACTTATTTGAAATAAAATAGTAATTATTCATATTTTAAGCGTTAGAAGGTTATCAATGCTAAAAATTTGTCAGGAATAGATGCTTCTCACTTGTTACTTAGAGAACTTGTGTTCGTTATTCAGTTCATGATTCCTTAACTTCTTTCGATGCAACTTTTCAATTACCTGGATTCACTCGGAGTACTCTTATACAAAATCTACTATCTTCAAAAAAGTTGCTTCTGCTTATACTATAAGCGCCCAAAATTTTAGAAACGCTCTTCGTACAGCATTATTATTAAATAATTTCTACTCTTTAGGCATTTTTCTTGTAACTTGACAAAGATTCTTGTTTAACACTGAACTTTTTTTATTAAGAAAGTAAACTCCGATCAGTCAAATGGATTGGACAATGATTCATACTTTTAGAATTTTTTTGAAACAAAATGATTGGAGGTTTAACAAATGTATCATCTCGTCCGGTTACGCTCGACTGCCCTTCACTTACCTTTTCAATGAGATACTTTTTTTCAATGCATTGCAGATTTAGAAATATTATTTATTGCAAACAATGCTTTACGCTGGCATTTAAATAGAAAAAAAAGATAAAGGAGTAGTAAGGACGAAAGTCGGGGACACTAGCAGGGGAGAGATGAATACGTAGATAGAACACGAACCTTGAGCAATCGCCCACGCGTTATCTTGCTCCTGCTACTATTTAGTCACAGCGAAAGGCCTTACTCTTTGCGCAGCTGTAGCGAGTAGCTTGCACAGTCTCTGTCATGCAGGCTACAGCTCTTGCATACATTGGATGTGCATAATACCGTGGACACGCATGCGCCTTCCAAGTCCAAACTGCTGCTCCGCAAGTTGCTCGATCTTGTCGCTGGAATTAGAGTTTGAGAGTACCGGCTAGCTGAGTTGGCCAGCGCCGCCAGTCAGTGGAGACGAGCGACGCAGCACACTCTCCTTTCCTAGAGCACTCGTACGCCTGAGTACCGGCTGGCCGGACTCTAGCGGATAGCTCGGTACTTTAGTATCTTGATTACCCAGGCTGGTCCTTGCATTTCATAACCATTGACGACGCTATTGACTAGCGAATTTTCCAACATGAGTGGCGTTGGTTACTTAACTCCAGTTAAAAGTTACGTGTTGCCTTCAGCTAATTCGGGCGTGGGCAGCAGGCGTAGACGGCGTTGCGATGCTATTGCAAAAAGGGCTATGGAATTACCTGGCTATACTTGTCAAAAGCATCAGCATTTACAACAGCAACAGCAGATGCAACTGCAACAGCAGCAGCCGGATGTTGTACCTAGCTGCGATTCTGCGCCGCCGATTACGCCTCCTGCAGCTTTTTTACCCTACGGTTACAATAAAAATTTTCGCTCAGGTGAGGAGATCTTGTAAAAGTACTTGAAATTCACTTTGGCTTCTCTGATAAGTGTCACGCGTGTCATTTTCACAGATTTTTGATGCTAATTAGCTCGTTTGTAAAGCTTTTGTCCCAATTACTGTACGGAATGTTAGCCTAGGGAGAGAAAAATAAATCAATATTGAACGTGTTTCAAGGTTACGTTTCAATTTTTAAACAATGCCAAAGATCACACGGATCTTCTAACGGTATAGAATTCTGAGAAAAAAACATTTTAACGTACACGTATCTGATACAAATAACTGATTTGCAAAATTTAGTCATTTGTGCATATTTACCATTTAAAAATTAACTTTGCTACTCATGCAATCTCTCATGAATTTTTTTACTTAAATAGATGTGAGCTTTTTAGCATAAAAATGAAAAAGATTAGTCACCCTATTTTTGCGAAACCATGTCGAAGCCTATTTAAAAGCGTACATCTTCGATTATTGTCATGTAGTCTAAAACTATAATGCAGCTTTAAAGATTGTATGAAAAGAAGTCAAGTTTTTCTCTGGCTTTAATTATTTTTTGTTCTATCTGCTTCCAATATACAATGCAATAACATTTAAAATAAAGCTATTCTAGTAATTCTCAAAACGAAAGAACAACGCAAGTGAAAAAAATGTCTGAAAATTTTGAGACTTAGAATGCGTGTTGAAATAATTATGGAAAAGTATAATAATTTCTCAACATTATATGTTTTCCTTGCTGCTTTGACCAAAAAAAAATTTTTTAAAATGTCGTAAATATTATCAATAAATTCATAGACAAATATGAAACTTTTTTAACGTTTCAAGGTAACATCACTTGAAAAAAGAACTATTTTCCTCTTGCTATTTGAGTTTTAGAAGGAAGAAAAAGAAATAGAAATAAATCGGTAACTACTAGGTAGAATTTTACTTGTGAATGATTCCAGTCACGTACAATATGACCGAAGATGAGAACGTCGACGACGTGTTAAGTCTACAGGAAATAAGAAATAACGAGCATTGAGTGAGAAAAAAGTTATCTGAGGAATAAAACTTGAAATAATGATTTCGATTATTTTTTCAAATATAATTTTGTACGAAATGTGCATTACCAGTGAAATTATCAAAAACTTCATCTTTATTTCGAAGCAAAAAGTATTAAATTCACGGCAACCCGTGAATAACGTTTACATGTAAAATCCAGCATTTTGTCACACGAATCCCTCATAGCTACTCTTTTTTGCTTTAATCGTAGTAGGGAATCACATTAAATAAGTTTGGAGAAAGTAAGAAGATAAAGAGTATAAATGAAACAAAAAGTCTTATTAGACGAGGGTAGACTTTTCTGAACATGAGGAAAAGTTTAACTTGGAAAATACGATAGTACAAGCATGCGTTGTTTCGACCGATGCTTCTTCTCTGAACGTGATGATAGTGAAGACACTTATATCCATATGACACTTCATACTTGTCGATCGTACTCTATCGAGTTTTATATCGTCTACAAGTACTTGGCGAGATGGCGAATTTTTTCACGCGATTTTGCATAATTGAAATATATGTTGGCATAACATGCAAAATTTTCGCTAATAAAAGATTGATCAATACTAAAATTTTATCATAAAAATATGAGCTAGTATATTTTGAAGATTATTTTTCAATATTGAATTTTGGAGCTTCGAAATTGAATTGATAATATATTATTTATTTTTATCCCAATTTGCTAATTACTGTATCATTTGAAATAGTCATTCATATAAATTCTTGCTTAAGTCATTGAAGACTTTTTCAATTTCTAAAGAGCATAATATATTGAACATTTTTCAATAGTATGTAGTTTTGACTTCTTTATATTCATACTAAAACAGGCAATTGTAAATTGTTTTATCTTTGCAGATTTTCACATATGTTTTTCTTAATCTTAGATATATATAATCTTTTAAAATTTACTTATATAATTTTTAGCTGTATACGATAAATTTATTGTTGCATATTTTTGTAACTTGATATATATTATTTTACTATATTTAACATTTCCGCATAGTAATATATTTCTATCGCTTCTATAAACTCAGTTTATCAACGACCATGACATTGAAATTTATCACTAATGTCACGAAACTCTAAAACAAAAAATAACAAATCGAACTTATTTTTTGTTTTACACATTTGCAAAGATCAAAAATTTTTTCATTACATGTTTTTTAAATTCATTCTCAAATGTAAAAAAAATCCTCTTGAATGTTTTTATAAGCATGTTATTAATAAAAGTTTTATGAGTAATATATAAACAAGTTTGGCAATAGAATTTTTCAGTATTCGTTAAGGTTGTTGTCACTGGTTGGTAGCACACATTGATGTTTAAAGTATCCGTGCTTGGTCAGGAACTACATGAGATAGTAATTCTTCTCCCCATGCCTCTCCTCTCGACCCATTTTCTGATGTTAGGTATCAGCCGGTGTGTCCATCAACCCTTTTTAAATCGGTCTCACTGAGCCTGCTGTTTCTTCAGTGTCTCCAAGCGCTTGTCGTCTGTAGCGTCCTCGTAGCGACGGTGATACAGCGCGAGTGTTTAACGTACGACAGATATAGGCGGCTGCTGATGGCGCTCAGACAGGCTCGTAGAAGAATTGACTCTTGCTTGGTGTGTGTATGCCTGTATCTCCGTTGCTCCTCTCCAGATGAGGGTTCCGTACAGTAAAATGACATGAACAACATTTGTCTAGAGCTCCCTTCGGCTGCTCCTGGATCTAACGATCCTGGGCATAATTGGCTAGAGTGGTCCAGCCACTCTCGTCGCCTTCTCGTTGATTTTTGCCAGGTACACATCGAACTTCAATCTAGCATCGATATACAGGCCCAGGTAGCGGATTTGGGGGCTGAGTTTATGTAGAAGTTCCCCACTGTGATGGTGAGCAGTAGAATTTCAGTTTTTCGTCGGTGGTTACCAGGCCAAGCTCCCAAAGGTGTTTGTCGCACCTGTACAACCGACGGTTTTAGATGATTTTCTATCTGACGCAGGTTTTGGACAACTACAACCATCGCTATGTCATTCGCGAAATCAACAATGGTCACTCGAGTGCACTTGAGCAAGATTTTTGTTCATTAGCGACAAATCACTAATGATATTTCTTCCAGCCGGTATCAAACCTTTGTCCTGAGTAACAACGTTGGCTTAGCAGGCATGTGTCCCAACGCCCTCACCTACTAGATCTTTTATAGAATTATTTTATGTCAAGAAGCCTCTAAAATTTACTTAACCCATTAAGTCCGGAACGGACACATTTTGGATACTTTTTTCAACCGTCGTACTATCGTTGAAAATGGGGTCTGTAGAACTTGCAAGTAAGCATATTCTACGCAAAATTTAATGACCTTCCCGAATCCAGTGTCAGATTTTCAATCTAACAAACAGGTCAAAAGTTATGGGTGGTTTTATCCAAAACAACGTGATTTCGAAAAAAAAATTTTTTCTTCTTTTCGAATTTTCACATGAAAATCTTTTAAACCCTAGTGTCTTCGGTAAAAATAAAGCGTCCATGGGCCCTTCTCTTAAAGTTATTCAGTTCTAATAAACATTAATAATACAATAAAGTAAATGAAAAAGTAAAATAAAAAATCAATCCATATTTAATAACTGCAATCAATTGCTTCATATTTATATTGCGTTTATTGTTCATTCATAATAAGAAATTTTTCTTCTCATTTAGTTGGGTCATTAAAACGTTTTTGTATTCTCATGCGACTTACTGGCAGTATCAATACATTGCATCTAAGAGCTAACCGCATTGCGCACTCGAAGTCCGCAATTCTAAAATACATTGCCACCCTCGCTATAGCCTGAGAATGCCAAAGCATATGATTGATCATCGATGCGCTTTCTGCGTGATAGTTTTTTTTTGCTGCATGTAAAGCGTGCTCTTGCATGTGAATTTACACAAGCGCATACTAAGCATTGCTTTATACCTATACATATATATACAGCTAATCAAGCACTTTTTTACTCTCTTGTACAAAATATAAGCTGCAAAGAAATTGAGTTGTAGACAGTATTACCTATTTAGGTATTGATTTTTTATGCTGTCTTACATCGTGAAAGCTTCAAAACTGTTGAATCGTCATGAATTTATTTTTCTGTTGACAAAAATATAGTTTTACTCAGTTTGACGAGTAAAACTACGAGTATTTTATATATTATTCATTCATCGGATACTTGTCGATTAAAGTATTAGATAAATATGATTTTCACAACTTTATATGAAAAATCTAGAATAACCTCGATGATTTAATTTTCGCCCCACTCATGTTTTCGCGACTATTTTAAAACCAACGATCATGATCATCACTGCGTGACACACAAAATGCTACTATAAGCAAAATAGTTGAGAGCTATCCACTGAAAAAGTCAATTTATAGCAAATAGATATTGCTGCTTTTATATTTTATACGATGGGTCGCATCGACGTGTTACAATGGCAAGGCAAGTACAACCTGTATTTGTTGCTGAGCTTGTCAATTTTTATAATAGAGAGTGATATAGAAAAAGGCATTTACGTCAAAAAATTTTGACAGTGGAGGCCAGGCGAGAGCATCACTTTTAATCGCTTTACGACTTGTAAACTTGACACAGTTGAAACTGTATGTATTGCTGTAGATCTAAAAATGTGAAATATTTAAGAGTGAAAATTAAATTGTTGTGTGTAAGTGATTATGAAATTTGATCTTCAAGGTCCAACATTTTTAGGTTTTTTATTTTGCAATTATTAGGATTATCCAATAAAATTATTTGCTCGTCTCTAGTTGTTTCAAATATAGTAATAATTTAAAAATTATCATCTTTCAATTGGTTTTGAATGTAGAAGGGCTTTTGTCTTAATGTGAATCTCACAAATTTAATAGATTAAAGCAATAAAAGAAAATATTTATACATGCAATGAAATAGTTTGCGTCAGCTCAGTGTCGTATAAATTTTTTTATTCATTCGGAGAAACTATAATATATAATTGTTTTATTTGTTTGTTCATAATTTTTTTCATACAATTTTTAAAATATATATTGACATTAAAATAGTTAAGAGTTTATAGTGAAATTGTAGAAAAATTTTTGACTAAAAAATCCTTGTTTGTTGATGAAAAATTAATTTTAAAATATCAAGCCACTGTGGAGCCTGAAATATGGTTAAAATGTTTTTGATGAACGACCTCGACGTTAATCGTCGTTAATGCTTTTGCACCTTTAAAAAGATATCTAAATATTTTTTATAAGAAAGCTCGAATTTCAAAGCAGAGTAAAAGAACCAGTAAAATTCTTACAATATTTGAAGAATTTAGCTATCGTGCACAAAGTTTTTGAATAATACCGAGGTCAAGTCAATTACTACAGAGGCAAAAAAAGGAAGTTTTATCATAAAACTGAAATACCCTTTATCGAAAATTAAAAAAAAAACGAAATCAAAAGGATCTTCACAAAACAGATGAAGTCAGCTGAAGGATATGGCTTTCCTAATTTCAGAGCAAAAAAAGGAGAAAAATGAATCGAATGGCAGTAGCAGTAGCGGTAACATTTCTAAGAGTGGTGGTAACGGAAACAACATCAGCACCATCGGTGTCGCTTTACCGAATACCGATCAGAAGCAGGAACACCAACTATCAGAACAGCAGCAGCAGCAACAACAACAACAACCACAACAACAACAACAACAACAACAACAACAACAGCAGCAGCAACAACAACAGCAACTACAACAACATCAAAAGCCTAATCGGCCAAACACACTCGATACTGGAAAGCTCAATATTCGTCGACTCAATGCAGCCAATCGCGTTGTCCTACCGAAACCCCCGGTTTATCACGTCACCGAGGAATCCTTAGCAGGTTAGCTGCTGACTGCCCATGATCTCTCTCAAAATTTCATCTATGCATAGATAATGATGCTCGCTTACCAAACTTTTGACCCTTTTGGGGGTTGAATTGTACAATTTTTTCATTTAGAAGTAGACTGGTGGTGGAATTAACTAGTATCTTGAAGTGAAATATGTATCGTTTTTCGTGTGGTTTTCAATAACATTTCTACACATAGACATAAGTTCAAAACGAGATGGTTAAATTATTTTTTAAGTGGCTTCTGCTTTGTGACTACTCATTTGCAACAAACGATAATTATTATTTTATTATATTAACTATACTGTAAAGTTGATGATGATGTAACATATTCGATTTTATAATTCGATTTTATTGCATCAATTTTACACTATTTGCTTTTTTTTTCTAGTTGCGAAATTTCAAGTCATATACAGTAGATTTATTTTATATATCATATTCATATGCCTTAAATCAAAAATAAAAAAACTATGGTTGCAAAGGGTGTTATGGGTAATAAAATGAAAATATATATTGATGTTCATAAATAAGATGTCTTTAAAGTAACATGTAGAATTATTGAACTATACGAGTGGTTACATCCTTGAATAAACGACAACATAAATAAAGCGCGCTAGTATATTCTTTATGATTTTTACCTCGATCTTCACGTTATATTCATCCTTCTTCACATTTTATGAAACCCATCTTGACTCAAATTTTAGCAGTGATAGCCTTTTAAGTAGATCTACTTCGTTCGATGAGTTTGCGTGGTACTTGCATACAACGAATGTAGAATTCAAAGATCTAATTTCGCTCAACTTGGATCAAGAGACAATCGTTTTTTATAATAACATATTGAATTTCGCTTGGGGCTCTTGAGATTTCATATTGATTACACAAACATAAGCAGCTGCTGCGAGTTTGCTAATATCTAGTTAACGGAAAAGCTTTAGCTACTAATCTGTTATTTTTAAGTCTAGGCATAACAAAATGTTGTATTGACTTTCGCATATTAACTGAATTTAAAAAACTTTAACGAAATTTTTCAATGTGTACTTTGTGCAATAAAGTCAATGGTCTAAAAAGAATGTACATGTATTCGTACAAATTTACATCTAATTCAACGATACGAATACAGTTGAACACTATAAGTATAGCAGAAGACCTGTCAACTGTTTATTGAACGAAAATAACACAAGAAGAATCAAGCAACTCTCTCGTATACTAATGATTTCGAAACTAAGCTAAATTGAATGTGTAGTTTTCATGTATTTTTGAAATTATAAATTCTGTAGTATCATATCAAAAGCATACCATTAAATAGTTCTGTGTTTTATATTTATGGCGTTTGCATAATAATTCGAGAGAAAAGCACAGAAATCATTATATCAAAATGTACGTGATAGTATATTGCATACATGACATTCAAAGTTTGTTAATGTAAATTTAAGCTATTTTGGGCACTTGGTATTTTTGTTTTTATGCTTGTTTAAACTAGCAATAATAATCTAAAAAAGAAAATGGGATTTGTCAAAAAATCTGGTATCACTCTTGGAGATTCATAATGTTCGTATTTTCCAGCAGAAAAGGGAGTGCTGCATTCAGGTGGAGACGGGGATCAGCAGAAAGTTGTAGAAAGATGCTATCCGCCAAATTTAGTGCTATCGGAGCTGCCGGAACCGCCGATACCACTGAGCGAAATAGGCCCTATACCTCCACCGCCCATGTTCAGCTCGCCTAGCCCGACTTTATTGTCCAGGCAGAGGCAGCAACAACTTGACTGCGAAGATGATGGTATCCGTTTAATCAATTAATAAAGCTAAAAGATTCTAAGATTGTTTCTTTAATCCTTGTATTTTGTTATGTAGATGATGACGAAATTGACGTTGATGACGATGATATGTACGGTATTGACACGACGCGGGTCGAAAAAATCCCATCGAAGGAGCCCAAATTCCACGCGATGCCGCTTAAAAGCGCCCTCAAGAAAAAAAGTGGGACCGGTAGCAGTGGACCTGCAACACCGCAAAGCACACCCACTCAGGAAAGCAGACCACTCACCCTTAAGCAAGAGCTGCACGCATCTTTCAAGTAAGTACGAATATTAAGTTACGCTATATAATATATGTGCTTTGATTTGATAAATTTTAACGTTTCGGTTTTTTTATGATAAAAACTTGAAGAAATGGTTTAAACAAAATCAAAATTCTACTGGTTTTTTCGAAGGGGTTGTTACCGACAAAAGCCGCTTTTAGGCAAAACCCGCAATGCCTAAAAAAAATAGGCAAAACTAGCAATTCTCAAGTTAGTTTCGGCATTTTTGTTTTTCAATAATTTCGCGTTTCAAATCATTTGTAACATTGACAATATTCATTGAATTGTTTTATACAATAACAATTAATGTCATTTATGTTTCATGCAATATACAGGGTTTCACCATGTCCGACGTATTTTTCGATGAGGAATCTAATGGTGACCGTGAACATAACCTCAAAAGCAACCGCGAACCTATTGTCGATTTTTCAAATAGGAACCCTAATTATTTATTGCAGATAAAAGAGCGAAAAATTTCACGTTTAAATGTGCCTTTTGATTTTTTTTTCAAAGTCATTTTAAGGGCGCTACAGACTCAAATAAAACCCCTATTTAACCAAAAATAAGGTTTAAGTAAGAAACTTTTTCTAACTGTAGCGCCACCGTAATTAAACAAAAAAAGGTATGACTAAACCGTTGATGAGTCAATAAGTATTTGATGTTCAGTATACATACTCTCTGGACTTAGTGAATAAGTATTTATCACACACGTACATAATATCAATAACCACAAATTAAACTCAGTCAATTAAATAGATATTGTCAGTGTTACAAATGATTTTATATGCGAAATTATTTAAAAACAAAAATGCCTAGACTGACTTAGGCACTGCGGGTTTTGTCCAAAAATTTTAGGAACTTCCTAAACTTTTTCAAAAATTGCGATTATTATACCTAAAATCATAGGCAATTATTTTTTTGCCTAAGCAAAAGCTGCTTTTGCCTAAAAGCGGCTTTTGCCGGTAACGGAGCAATCATATGGTATTGGATAGCAAAGTATAGAATTTACTAGTTATTCTTTTTTGTTTGTTAAAATATCAATAACTTAATTAAAACATTTAAACTGCTTATAAACAAAGATTTTTATTCATTATTCATTTTTAATATGGAATTGTTATTACTATGTGCATCGATGCTAATAGTTTTAATTACTAACAGTTTAAACTAAAAAGTTGAAGTTAGGTTCCTAATTCTTAATTGTAGTACTACTGTTAAAATTGGAAACATTTAATATGCGAAAACGTATATTCATCTAGAGAGTAGAAATAATGTAATTATTTTAATCATTCTGTCAAAGGTATTCAATCATTGTTAGTTACAAAATTTGTTGTTTTTATGCTAAACCAGAAGGCCTCATTTTAGCTCTAGGATAAAAATTTGGTAATTGAGAATATAATAATTACCATAAGCCTAATTCAAATTCTTCTTTATTACAAGCATGAACCTACAGCTCATTGATAACTTTCCACTTTTTAACAATGTTTTTTATATATCAAAATTGAATTTTTTTTAAGCATGATAATGTTTTTATAGACAGGAAACTAATTAATGTATATTTTTTACTTTTCGTTTACTATATTTTGGTTCTTTTTAAATATGTAATGTATTTATTACCTATTAAATTGAAATTTATTTCTGGCCTGAATGCCGTGAACTGAAATACCAATATTTAAAATATTCATAACACTAATGTACTTCGTTTAAATTCATTATTATTTCAATACCAAATTCGATTAATTAAATTTTTATTTGTTTGTCTACATTAAAAACAAAAAAATAGAAACCTCGGCACTTTCAAGTCATTACCAAGTAAGCTAGTTATGCCATGAAACATGCTACGCCTTTTAGGAGTAAAATATTTTGTACGTGTTTAAAATATTTGTGTTTCAATCCCATTTCAGTGTAAATACAGATACGTTTTTAAAAGTTTCATATATGAAACGAAAAATTTTCTAGAAAAAATTGCCTTTACCTAAAGAGTAACAAGCTGTCAATAACAAAAAATATTTTTATGTATCATAAAATAATTGAGAAAAAGTAATTCTATATAGCATTTGTATATGAATTTTTGCAGTAGCCGTCCAGGAAGATTTAGCTTGACACTTGCTAACACGATCGAAAACAAAGAGAACGCAAGGCCATATGTTATACGAGAGGATTCGGACACGGATTCGAACGATGGTCAGGTGATCTATCGCGACGACTACGACGATGAGAAAAGTAAGTTTTCGTTTTTGGGAATTTTACCCGATGTGACATGCAAGTGCACGAGCCACGCAGTTGTCAGGAATTTAAGATTTATGGCAGGAAGCTCATTCGCAACGCATCTAAATCATAAGATAAATAAAATAACTGTATACTGGCACGCATAGCGAATTCATTTCCGATTGGAAACGTTTCCTCATATGCATTTGTCTGCGTATACATTGAAATAGGCGCAAGTCGTGTGCTAACGTCAAGCATCACTGCAACACACTCGAGAAACTCACTACGCGAGAATTGCAGATAGTCGCGACATGCGCGCATTTGGCTTAATGACGTGATACGTAAATGCTAATGTACATGTATACACAAATACAAAGGATGTCTGTGCGTGTACGTGAGATTTCAAACGTTTTGCGATGGTGTGGCGGTGGCGACGTCGCGCGCATCAAATCAACCTTCAGCGCACTAATTATACACTCGCAAGTTGCCTCGATTTTAAACTTTGCGCTTTTTGTATGTACTATTTAAAGTTTTATTCAACTTTGCGAGTGTTTAATATATGCCAGTTTCATTTGAGCTTGTGCACTATTTGGTCGTGAAAATTGCACATGATTCTCTCGACGCTTTTCACGAGACAAAGTAAGTACGTTCGATGAGATTTTAACGAATATTTGAACAAATTTTTAAATTTTTTGCAAAATATCTTTTAATGCTTACTACAAAATTGTTAGTGAAACATAAAAGCTGCTCTTAAGGAGGCTGTAGCGAAAATGAAAAAATCTTTAGATCGAAATGAAATTTTAACTCATGATAGTTCATGAAATTACAAGATTTTTGATAAAAAAAAATTTAGGGTTTACGTGCAAATTTGGGAAATAATGAAATTCAAAGTTTTTAGCCATTTAATATTGAATCAAATGGGAAGTTGCAATTTTTAGTGTACTGTGAGCTCAAATCACTTAAGAAGTTAATGAAATTAATATCTGTTATAGGAAATCTTTTTTGCTTTCGAATGATATAATTATAAATGGGTATTTCCAATCATTTTCAAAAGATATGAAGAGGCTAACGTATTTCCCCTATGTTCTGCCATGCTAACGCTGTGCGCTGTGTAACGCATATAGCCTTGCGCATATAGCGTTCTAATACAGAACCACCGTGCATCGCTACAGCCTCCTTAAAAAACTTTATTTAGGGCTCGTGTGCTCATTTTTTATTATACTAGTAAAATATATATTTGTTTGAAAAAAAATGAAGTTTTGTCAAAATAAGTCTCGCGTGTTCATACCATTAATAAACAATGGCCAATTTTAAAATCCATGGGTTTTGAAAAATCTATTCTAACTGAAAAAATAGCAATGACGATCACAAATTAAAGTGGAATTTCACGGCTACATGCCAACAGCAAAATGTCGTAACGGCCGTCTGTTCGTGTCTTCCGCTTTGCTTTCGATTGTGCATCAGCCAAGAAACCGGATAAGGGGGTTTTCATTCTTTTTCTTTATTTTAAATTCATTCGATCGATTGCTTTGTACAGGAAGTACCTTCAAAAGTTATGAATAAGTAGAATCAAAAATGAAACAACGCCACGGACATCGTAGGCTAATTGTCAAACACTCGATCGGTGGGTGGAAATATCAAAACCGAGAATATCAAACTTTTTTAACGCTCGTTTGAAAAAGTATTTAAAAATTTTTCAATCAAACTTCGCTCTATTCAGTCGCTCTAATAGTAGATTCATCAACGCTATCGACGACTGTATTTGCTCGTCAGGCGCTTGTATGCGTTACACGCTGACGGCACTTGCAGTCCCTCTCAAAAGTCGCAATTTTTCAAGCGCTGATTAACTTTTTAATTGCGAATCCATTTAAAAGTTCAAATTACTTTAAAAGAGTTTGTTGCTTCAGATTTGTCTCATTGACGTTAGAATAAGTTACCTGATTCATTCGATCGTCATACTAATTTGTCATACATCATTTTACGGGAGCGTAAAAATCCAAATCATTGATATACTTTATGCATCACGATCCGTCGCTCGAGCCATGTTCAGATTTCGGAATGATAAATATTCGGAATCGTAAATATTCGGAATATTTAAAATTCGGAATGTTTGAAAATCGGAATTTTGAAAACGGAACATGAAAAATTCGGAAAAACAAAATTTCGGAATAAAAAAATTTCGGAATGAAAAAAATTCGGAAAAATTAAAATTCGGAATCCACAAAATTGTTAGTGGAGAACGTAGACTATAAAATTTCCCATTAAAAATTTTGTGGATTCCGAATTTTAATTTTTCCGAATTTTTTTCATTCCGAAATTTTTTTATTCCGAAATTTTGTTTTTCCGAACTTTTCATGTTCCGTTTTCAAAATTCCGATTTTCAAACATTCCGAATTTTAAATATTCCGAATATTTACGATTCCGAATATTTATCATTCCGAAATCTGAACATGGCTCCGTCGCTCGATAATTTACGTGTTACAGATAAAACTGAGCCTACCTGTGTCGGCGCACACTCATACATAATTAATACTGTTGAAACTATGAAAACAAATGCCAATAATGTCTACATAAAAATCAATAATTTTAAATTTTCATAGGTCGGTTAGCAGCCAAGATTGCCCGCAGGGAGTCGTTATCGTTGAAGCTTGCCTTGCGGCCCGATCGGCAAGAGTTAATCAACCGAAACATTCTTCAAGTGCAATCCGACAATGAGAGGCAGGAGACGAAAGAGGCCATCGGCGCCAGGCTCATCAGGTAAAGATCTTTCGTTTCTAGTACTTTTTATGCACTTTCGTTTTTTATGTACCCGGAGAACAGAAGTGAAAAGTCCTAATATCAAAATAATCAGATTAGTTGCTTCAAGAGTTTTTTTCAACAGTGTTGTTTCCAATTGCGTCTATTATGACCGTTTGTGCTTTTTATTAATATCGCGTATCTCGCACTCACAGCTAAGTTAACAGACGTGGACAGTTCGTAATCGCACAATTTTACTATGTTTTCTATGTTTCTTTTTTTCTCTCGTTAAAACCAATGATGAACAAAAATAGAGATAATATAATGAAACTTAAAAAAAAAAAAGAAAAAGAAAAACAAATAGCCTCGCAATCCAAAAGAAATTGGCGTATCTTGGCCAGTAACATTATATGTTTTTTTATTCTGAAAAAATTTAATTCTTATAGCGTTGTAACAAAGCTTGATTAAGCTTTTTTTTAATTTGCAATTCTTTGTATTTTTTAAGTTATCAGTCCATCTTTTCACTTGCGTTAATTAACTGTATAGTTGCATCACTTTTTTGCTCGTGTACAATTAATTTTTAATGTAGCATAATTCAAAAATCATCTTTAGGTGTTCAGCTCTATTTAAAATAATTATTACCATAATTCCAAGTGATGCAACCATACATCCAAGCAATCGCGATAAAAAATGGACTCGTAATAACTTTGCCTTTGTGAGTACCAATAACTCGAAGATGTATCAACAACGTATTAACAATTAGAAGGTTTTCCGATACCATGTAAAAAGGGTATCTGAGGGTAGAATGCTAGTCAGTAAATGATTCTCTACAAAAAGAATATTTTCTAAATTTTAGAACCAGAGCGCAAGAACCTTCTTAAAATATATGCAGATACGTGATAAAGAAGCAAAAAAAGCAAAAACAATAGATAGATTCCGTTGATTACTATCGCCTGGTGATTTTCTCTTATCTGAATAAAGATAAAAGTTATTCTCTTCTGAAAGATTGAAAAAATATAGATAAAATCGTAGTTAACACACGTTTCGGCTTAATAAATAGTCTGTGACTAGTTGTCTTTTTGTGAGCTATATAATTCCATATTCCTGGTTTGACTGAAAAATGAAGTCGTGCAATTTTAGATCGAATCTATTGCAAAATCATTGCTTCTCATTTTTGGAATGGAAATGTTGCGTTACTGTCGTTACTTTTATTTAGAATTTAAAAAATGTGAAAATCGTTGTGCTCAAATTCCGATAAGTCCAAGTCGACTGGAAATTGTCCAAATAGTACTTTATAGTACTCCGTGGCATAGGTTCACATCTATGGCACGCTTTTCTGTGGCATAATTCTGGCACCACTGCGTTCGCATCACACTCGCATACCCTCGTGCGCTAACCTCACTTCGCGCTACCAGAAAGTGCGACTCATGACTCGGAAAAGGGGTCATAAATGTGAAATTAGCACAGTGCTATAAAATATTGTACCGAAGTATAGTTCAGCCGAAAAGTGTTCCCATGGCATGAGTATCGTACATTTTATAGCACTGTGCTAAGTTCACATTTAGGCCCCCTTTTCCGAGTCATGAGTCGCAATTTCTGGTAGCGCGAAGTGAGGTTAGCGCACGAGCGTATGCGAGTGTGATGCGAACGCAGTGGTGCCAGAATGTGCGACTCATGCCACAGAAAAGCGTGCCATAAATGTGAACTTATGCCACGCAGCGCTATAAAATTTATCATGGTTTGGTATGCGTACAGCGATCCAAAATTTATTACTTATCTTTTAGTATTTATCATTATCTAAATTTCTGTTGACACATGCATAAAAGGCAGTTTATGCTAAGTATCCTAACGCAGTGGCCACGCGGCATTTTTAAACGAAAATGCTTCATTTCGCCGTAAATTGCGTGTGGACGCCGCGTTAGGACACTTGGCACAAATTGCCTCATAAAATAAAAAAACTCTAATAAAAAAATTTTATTATATCCTGATAATGCGTATTGTATATGCCCCTATTTTCCATCATGTCCCTATATTCGATCAATAATTAATATTAACAACTTAATAGTACGTAAGAAAATTTTTTTTAATAATTGGCTGAATGAATCGAACATCTTCAACAGAAATACATTATTCAAAATCAGATATCAAGTTTCAATCTTATATAAAAAATTGATTTAAATTTGAGCTAAATTAGAACCTAACTGATCGAAAATAGGGGCGTATACCTTACAGGCAAAAAATCTTTCATGGATTGTTAAATAACCTTTATGTTGTTAATACACATATCGTCAGAGAAACAAACGTGCGCTTACGTGGTATTTGATATTGCAAAATTCATCAGTGGCCTAATTCTTTGATGGCATTCACTTGATATATTTCTGTGAATGTGCGCACGTAGTATATCTTTTCCGAATATTAACATGCATATTTACACATGGTGGCTTATGCGCTTATAAACTCGCTCAATAATAACTTGAGAAAAGCACAGATTTATCGATGTTACAAATAATGCGCGTTATCAGCTGACGTACAAAATTTTTAAAAACGTATTTACAAAAAATATGTAGTACAACCTTTTAAGATTCCAAAACATGATAATACTAAATTCATCAGCAATAAATACAACTCGTATTCTTTCAGATATTTAAGCAACTATAAACACAAGGACTATTTAACTTTTTTGTCTATTTTCATTTTTTTTTTTTTTTTTTTCATATACTTTAAAAATGTTTGAATCAGTTTGTTTTAATTTTGCTTGAGTTTTTAGTTGCAGTTCCTTTATAGTCTCTTAAAATATGAGAATTTCTCAAGTAATGAGTACGTAAAAATGGTTAATCTCTCATAAAATTGTAATTATATTTTATTTTAACAGGCGGTTGAGTATGCGGCCGACTCAGGAGGAGCTCGAAGATCGCAACATTTTGAAAAGTTAGCTAATAAATTTTCAAATAATTTTTTATTGACTTTTATAAATGATTGATTTATAAACGATTTTTTCTAGAACAAAGTCCTGCAGAAGAGAAAAAGCAAAAAGAAGAAAAAAAACGTTACCTCCTTCGAAAACTCAGCTTTCGGCCAACTGTGGACGAGCTTAAGGAAAAAAAAGTTTGTATATTTTTTTTCACTTTTTGAATGATTTCTCGCTAGCTTTCATTAAACGTTTACATTGCTAGCTTCATTAAGACAATTATGTGCACCTGAACTTTAATAGTATTTAAAAGTATCACTTTTAAAATTAGAGTATTCGAAACAGCAGTATAATAATTACAACTATTGTATTTTCTTATTAACGACTGCGCGTCCCTATTTTCGTTCCAACTTACAGTATAATTTTTTGCATGTTAGCGGCCTTGGAAAAATCCCTCTACCCGATAGTTATATAATAGTACATTATCTGACTCGCTGCGCTCGGGCGACAAACTAAGACTCGTGCGAGAATCACCCACTTCGCGCACGATTGACGTATACTATTTTTTATCACGAGTTGCGGGAAGTTTTTATTTCCTGCGAGATAATTGCGAGAAGTATTGTTATTACAATACTGCTCGGGAATCACATACTTCCTGCACGCTGTGATAAAAAAAATTTAAACTCTTTTGACCGCCATCTTGAATCGACAATCGACATTTTTTGCATTTATTCGGTGATTCTTTACCACAAAAGCAATAATTTTATTTATAAATATCGATTGTAATTATTATTATTGTTTTTTCGCATATATGAATTGAATTTGAATTTTTCAAATCATAAATTTAAATTATTGATATTATAAATTACAAAAATTTACATTATTTTCTCAAAACTAATCAACATAACAAAAACTAAAATTTTTGTAATACTGCATGCAATATGCAATGGTGGTAATAATAACTAATTTTAATTATTTAAGGGCTTATATACACCTTAAATTCAAAATTTTTTTTATTCAATTTTTGAATAGGATTTTTTCTCCCCTTTCCATTGCTTTTTTCGAAATTCCAAAATTTTCCACTGAGATACAGCTGTTTCCGTGAGCCTTTTTCCTATACTTTACGTGTTAAATTTTTTCTTCTTTTGCGTTTTCTGGCGAGTAGTGTTTTTGGTCACCTGTCGTAATATTCAGATGGTATCGATTGAACTTTCTGCACCAGGGTCGCGTACACTTCTTCAGAACATGAATGGTTATGGCCACTACCACGGGCAAGACGACCGAACACTCAGGTTGCTCTGCATGAACAGTTAAACACACATTTTTTTTCATTTTTCGTTTTTGCCGAAATTTAAGTCATAAAAGTACGTTTTGAAAATGATCTATGAGCTCAATCGTCTCACCCGTGGTAGTGGCCATAACCATTCATGTTCTGAAGAAGTGTACGCGACCCTGGTGCAGAAAGTTCAATCGATACCATCTGAATATTACGACAGGTGACCAAAAACACTACTCGCCAGAAAACGCAAAAGAAGAAAAAATTTAACACGTAAAGTATAGGAAAAAGGCTCACGGAAACAGCTGTATCTCAGTGCAAAATCAAAATTTTGGAATTTCGAAAAAAGCAATGGAAAGGGGAGAAAAAATCCTATTCAAAAATTAAATAAAAAAAATTTTGAATTTAAGGTGTATATAAGCCCTTAATAAATTAAGTCGATTCAACACGATTGATTATATATGTGGGATTTTAACGAACTTTTTTCCAAATAACGATTTAAATTATATTAGATGAATCCGAATTTTTGTGATATTTAATGGTCTTGCTCTGCATAATAAAATATATCGGTTAATTTTGCTAAAATTCATTCTGAGGGATTCCCAGTTTATCAGAAAGTAAGTCTGCACGTATATGTGTTTATCGATCTTAATAAGTTAATGCTCTTTTAGATTCGGGCTTAAAAATCAGAAACATTTTACTAGAAAATTAATTATGGCCGTTTTATTAACAAAAAACTGTAACAAAGCATTTTCCAAAAGATTTTTTTCTTCGGAATAAAATGACGCATTCCAAAAAAAAATTTTTCGAAATCGTGTATTTAATTTTATAAAAAAGGAGCAAGTAAATACATATTTTTTCCACGAAATCTATGGATATCTTTAAAGATTTTTGATAAATAAAAAAGTTCTATAATTGATTACAAAAAATTCTGAACTATTTAAAAAAAATTGTAGAAAATTTTTTTAAAATGTCATTTTTAGAAAATCAACAAACTTTATCAAACAATTCAAAAAAATTTGAGAGCTTGCTTTGATTAATTTTTAAGACATTTTGAATTTTAAAAAAAGTTGATTGATTCGAAATGAAAAACGATAAAATAGATACACGAGCTCGAATAGTTTTTACTTGTTATCCAAAATTCTCTTTTTATGTCTAACAAATTTGTGCACCTGCGGTCAATTCAATTCGAACCTATTGCTGCAAATCTTTTGAAAAAAGGTTTTGTAATGGGTTTTTAGTATAAAAACCGCCGTAATTAATTGTTTAGTAAAAATTTTTGTAATTTTTATAGCATATAATTTTTCATCACAGCGTGCGGGAAAATCTTAAAATCGACTTCCTGTACTCGATGATAAAAAAACTATACGTAACTGAGGCAGTTGTCAATTTTGCACTCGTGTCAATGCAAACTGACACTCTTACAAGATAGACAACCCCTCGCCTCAGTGACGTAATTTACTATTTCGTTGAACCACATGTTAGCAGAATTTCTCTAACGAAAATCAGACCGCAAAGTCATTATTGGGTTAAGCATTAATAAGTTAGCTTTTAAAAATAACAAACTTTAAATTAACATAAAACAACGAAATATTTTATTTTACAGATCATACGATTTAATGACTACATCGAAGTGACACAAGCTCACGACTACGATAGAAGAGCAGATAAGCCATGGACAAGATTAACCCCAAAAGACAAGGCTGCTATAAGAAAAGAGCTTAACGAATTTAAGAGCCAAGAAATGGCTGTTCACGAAGATAGTCGTCATCTGACGAGGTATTTTGGTTATTACTACTCTTAGAATAACAACAATTTTATGGCTTTAGATATCTTCATTTACATAGTTTTATGCACGCACTTACATTCTCGAGACTCATATTCGAGCATTTTAAACGTCATTTGATAAACTGAAAATTTATTGATTGACTCAGTTCTTGGTAAATTTCCTTTTAAAAGTATGATTTCACAAATTACAGAAATATTTTTTTATTTTAATAAAGTATTTTAAATTTTGTAAAATTAATATTTTCATAATACATTAGAAACATTTGATTTTTGTATTTTACTTTAATAACCCCATGAACTCATTAAACTTATTTTTATTATTTTTTTCGCCAATTATAAAACAGATACTACCCTGACCAAACTATTCCATTGAATATTCTTGATAACATTCTGAAAGATCGACGGGGGCGTTTTGTGTAATCTATGAGAGTCCTTCGAACAACCAATATACCAATTTCGATGAAAAACTTTAACTCATCACTTAGTGAAACAAGGATTATATTATTTAATCTAATGAAATTATTTTTAAGTACTATTTTTTTATCTTGGACTTACACGTATGCCATAATGAAAACGTTGTTTAACATTCATTGGTAGTTGATAAGAATAATGTTATAGAAAAAATTTAATTTTCAGGTTCCACAAACCATGACAATTTCAGCGTGAATTCTTTTTCAAGAATGATGGTGCAAAAAAAATGGATACTGTTGCAACGAAGCAACTAAGTTATTGCGAAAATGACTATTCAATCGTTTTCGTGGCCCTTACGTCGCCAAATGCGTGAAGCATTACTGGAATTATGAAAAAATACAAAATAACAAAATGATTACGTAGCTCACGTATCGTGCATTGTACCTCTTTCACATATTTCTCTATCATTCGGTTAGAGATGCGCAAACGCGTTCGTTCTATTCAAGAAGGCACGTTGACAAATGATCTCCATCACCCACGCTAGTAATGAAAGAGCAGCTCTAATTGTGATATACTTGATGAAAAGAATATTGTAGTTTAGAAAACTACTCAAACCGAATTTTTTTTTGTAAATCAATGTTTTCGTTTGATTTTTTAATAATCAAATTTTTTAACGATATGTTTGCATGGGTTCATGTGATCCGGTAGTACACGACAGAGCATAATGTTAAATACGAGAATCAGTTTTTTTGTAGTTATTGATAGTTAATAGAGCTTTTCGTATCTTTTAAAAAAATTTTAATTTTAATGTAAAAATTTAAGTCGAAAAAACAGACAAATTTTTCAAATTGTAGTAACGGAAAAGTCGTGCGTTTAAATTGATCTCTATATTTTGCGATGAATAAGAATTAAAATATTTGACTCTTTCTGAGTAAATTGTTAAAAATTTTCAATATTTTTATTTATACATAAAGATTCACATATAATCGAAAAAATTTTAAGTTAAATACGAATCATAAGCCAAAAGATTGAAAAAATACAGTTTTCACTGAAAATGTAATAAAGTTTGAATGAGAATGATACGATTTTCTAATGTTCTGTGTGTTGAATAGAAACGAATATAAAAGTGATACTGTACGATAAATTACTATGTTTAAATATATTATATTACACAAGTAAACAATAATTTATTTGAAAAAGATCATTAGCTACATTACGCCGTAATGGACATTTTTGTACCGGATTGTAGGTATAACAATTTTGTGTTGAATTACAAGATGGCCATTTTGACGGCCGCATTCCTAGTTTGTATTTAGTCAAAGTCCTTTGGATTTTTGAGGTTTTATTTCAATAAATGATCTTATAATTTCCATTGACTTAAAAAAGCAAACCCTACGTCATTTATGTTATAAACAACTTTTTTCTGTATTTTTGTATAATTTATAAATACATCATGAAGTATTTTTTGTACACTGAGTTTTGTGGTCAAAATGTTAAAAATAATTTGTTGCATATTCATTAAGAATATTTAATTGTAATACATGTTTTTTATCTAATGTTTGTGAATGTGAATGTATAGTATAAAAAATAAAAAATATTTTTCTACCCCAGCAAAAACAACTTGTCTGCTTAAAAAATAGGAAACACTTTGTCACGGGTCAATGAATAAATTAAACTTATCAGTCCTGATGATACTATTAGTAAAATAAAAAGTTTTCTCTATTTTTTGAAACAAACAAACGTGTTTTTTGAAGTGAAAAATATTTTTCTTAGCGAATGCAATACCGTCGACTATATACTTGCTTAATGTAATGATATCTCGTATTTTCCATAAATGCAGTTGAAATCGTAAACTTTCTGTCTCGATTGTTTCAATGAGCCCTGCGAAGTTTAACTATATAATACACAAATTTCCATTATATAAATTAAAATAATCCCGCAACTATCTTGTACAGAACAACAAGTGTAGGTTAGCACAATTATTTAACGACTGTAGCCGTTATAATTGTTTTATGAATGGTTATTTTATCGACTATTGTTAAAAAAATTTATTGTTTATTAAAAATTACTGCGTCATACTCTAATTTTGAAGTAAAATATGTATTTAATTATAAAGTTACGATGGATGTGCATAAATACTCCTATTTTGCATAGCAATTTCCTACGTTTTATACATTTGTTTATGTAAAACGTTGCATGAGAGAACATGAAATTACAACACAATTAGTGAAACATATTTTAGGCTTAGCGATAATGCTAAGTTTTATTCTTGTAAATATATACATAAAAATATTCTACACAATAAAGCGAGCGAATAAGTAATATTTAAGTTCCGCAGTTGAAGAAAAAATGCGTGATCATTTTCTGCGACATTATTAAGCATAAATGATTGAATATTAATGACGAATTAAAAATTAATATGTATAAATACTAATACTTGATATGACGTCCTTACTCGAACGATGCACTATTGACATAAGAAACATATGTGTAATTATATGATTCCGCGTTAAGGGTAATGTAACTATTGCAATGATAGAAGGAGCATGTGTGCAATATTTCCAGTGCAAAACATCTTGCATTTATGTACTATAAAATTAATTGTACAAGCTAACAGATGCAATATAAAAAATAATAATGCTGAAGATTTAATAAATTTATGCATAAATTTATCGTGTCTGTGTATTCACGTTTATACAAGTGAAGATGAAAGATAGTTTTGTTTGAAAAACTTGAATGTGCTAAATACAAAAAATCATTATTACGCAATGCAAAAAATATTTTAAAAATATATATATATATACATTATATATATATATATATATATATATATATATATATAAAACACACAAAATAGTGCCATCACATTTTTAGCTTCAAATTAATACAAAAATGAAATTGGTACAAAAACCAATATAAAAAAAAATTTAAATATCGGGGATTTATTTTATGAGCTCGTAACATTTAGATTTATGGAATTACAATTATGTAAGTGCAGTGAAATGCTTTCACGTTTCATGAAATTCATTTATAAGTTAAATAATTTTATCGCGAATGAATCCAACTAATAATGCGATTTCTAGATTCTGAAAATTTCTTCCAACAATCAACATTGATCTTAACAAAATAAATTAAATTTTCTGATTTCGATAGCATTTATAACTACTGTGTTTATAAAATCAAAAACGTGCAACGAGGATCGAAAAATATTAAATTACATTTCTACATCCATTGTGAAAAAAGATTTTTAAATATTAGACAAAACAACTCCTTCTTATTTTGCTTGTAATTTTGTGGTTTACTTGGTGATAAACCAATGGAAAAATATAAATAGTTTATTCACTGGTATCGTTACCTGGACGGACACTCATTTCTTACTGTAATATACTGTAGACCTAAACTATGTAGTTTTATCGTAGATATAATGATAGTTCTATTTATGATTATTTAAGCTCAATAATACAAAATGCTTGTTCTTGAAATTTCTGACTTGTGATGCAAAATCCAATGTAATATAAAATGAATCAGTTATAAATAACCGTACAGTAAAATGTATGTTTGGTTTTATATAAATCTGTGTTTATGTGCTGTTATGCGTGGCTAAGAATGAAAGTTCAAATATTTCTAAAGAAATATTGTAACTCATGTCTTTATATATTTAATATACATTGAAACGTTTTTACTGATGCAAAAATCTGGATGATTTTATTGTCTATATGTTAAAAAACTCTAAAATTCATGTTCAATACGAGTTTTTATAAAACGAAATAAAATACATTAAATAATTTCACAAATACCTAGCAATTTTTTTATAATTCTGACTTGTTTTTATTCTCTATGTACCAAGGGTTAGTGTTCTTGTACTATCAAGTTCTTCCTAAAGTTATTTTATACTCATTATTTAAAGTGAACATTTTATCAAATGTATTATTAAGAGTTCTTGTGAATAAAAGCTATTACGCTAGCAGAACATCTTCAAAAAATAGATTTTAATCCTTATGGAGTTACCTAAAAAGAGTTGATTGCTGTCGTAGATACAAATATAAAAATGGAAGTAATCCATGCTAATAAAAATACAAATAATGCAGTAGTATCAGTAAAAGAAAAAATACTATTTACCTTGGCACAAAATAATTGATAACAGTAGAAATTACTATTTGTTCGATACAAATAAAGTTGTAATTAAAAATTTCATATGTGCATCAATAGTGTGATTTTCAACAAAATGAAAACTCTGTTAAATTAAGTGTTGCAGAGATGATATAAACGTGAAATGTGTATAGATAAAAAAAATATATAAATCAAGATCGCTAATTACATTAAAATATCTGTTTTGTACCAAGTTGAAATATTGTCGTATTAAACTGTCTAGTTATAGTAAAATTTTCCCTACATCATCTTTATTTCTGCGAGTTACAATAATTGTGTTCTTTGCCATGTATCACGCATAACTTTAATGTTTTTATTTACAAGAAAAAATTATTATTTTACAACTAGAATGTGTAATTTTCCGAGAAGCAGCAAAAGATAAATAACATGAATGAATAAATCATAGGCCGAAGAAACAGCTTTTTGGACAAAAGTGGCAAAAGCGAAACAAAATTATGTATTATATGATAGAGCAGTAATGCTCATTTAAGTGTAAGAACATTGTATATAATTTATTACTAAAAATGAAACCTAATGAAAATATGAATCTTCAATGAAAAGGGGAAAAGGAGAAGTGATAACTCAATTTCAATGAAGAGGGTTTCAAGTTTACAGTAGGGAAGCAAAAGAAATTAAAGTCAAAATTTATTAATATGCTAATCGACGTTGCTATTCAAAATAAACGAAAATGTCGGTTAAAACTATATTCAAACGATTTGGAAGGAATCATTGCGTTTTTTCAATTCAAAATCTACCTTTTGTTATTAGTTTGTACGCACCACGATTATGCTATTTACTGTATTGTCGATGAAATATTGTAATAAACAAAAATACTGTTAACTATTCTTAAAAAGATTAAAACTTTTGTAAACTGAAATAACGTTATTTTATTTTTTGTTCACTGTCATAGTATGATTTTTAAACAGTATTCAAGTATTTATGCTAGGTATATATTTTTACATAAATTAAATTAAAATGTGTTCAATTAAGTTTTATTAAAAACTATATGGCATCTGTGTAAAGTATAATAATAATTATTAAATGGTATCAATAAATCTTAACTATGTGGACGGATAGAAATACAATTTGTTCGTAACGAAGTTGGTCATTTTACAATCATTAATGTTATTTGTAAGTTGTAGTATCAATAACGTTTGATTCGTAATCTGCTGTGAGATGAAAGTATTTACGTACAATGTGCATTGTTGATTCCCACATAAGAATCAAAATCCAAAAACACATTTTTTTCTTTGTCGATTGGAGCATTTTCAATTTTTTTACCAAGCAAATTGAAAGGTGACACCTATAAACGAAGGAAATACAAATTTGTTTTACTCAAACTAACATTTCTAATCAATGCTACGAAAAGCTCGATAAAATTTCATTAACAAACCTTTTTTGAATAATAAGATCGAACATCGTGATTCATATAAAAAGCAATTCTTTGTAATCCTAAAATTGATTTAATCCTCATTTTTGGCTCTGGTTGCAACAGTCTCTTTAAAAGATCAATCGCCTGTAATGAAATGTTGTCTACGTCGTCGGGCAAACTCCCAAAAGTTACTATCGCAAGCTCGCCATTTTCCAGTAAATCTCTCGTTATATTTTTACCTGGAAACTGGAACAACAAATGTTCGTTCATTTTCAATATGTTTCAAACAAAAACTATTATTTGTATTAAATTATTCACTTTAAAAAAATATTTTTTGATTTGTTAATAAACTGAAACTTTTCATAATAAGTCTCTTGAAAAATGTAATTACCAAACCCAATAAATGAGCAAAATATAAAAAAAGTAAGAAAATGTATAGGAAAAAAACAGTACTCGAATATAAGGTTGCATATTCATTTTATCATGGGTGACGAAATTTTTCGCTATCACAATGCATTTCACCCATGAAATTCAATTAATTGATATTTTTCGTAAAGTAAAAGAAAAAGGAAAAATGATTCCAAGCATCGAAAAAAAGGAAACAACGCCCTAAGTCGATCAGTAAGGAAGAAACTTGAAATTTTGCGCATCATCCCTACGTTGCTTGGATTGTTGGATGCTGCTGCATCAGCTCACAATTCTATGCGACGCAGTCGCGTCGAGCGTTTAATCCCATACACCACACACTCTTCTCTTCTCCTCTCTTTCTCTCTTGCTCTTTTCTCTTTTCTCTCTTCTCGCGTGCGCACATGTGTGCGAGCGAGTATATATGCGTTTGCGCGAGATACTGCGCCTGACCAGAGTATATTCCTACAGGGTCAACGGCCACGCTCGACCCTCAACCTAGCCGCGCGTGGTATGTATGTATCGCGGGCAAGCACAGGCAATTTTTTCGAATCTTCTCAAAAATTCTCGCATAATGTGTAGGTATATACGTAAGCTGTACGCGCGTGCAAGCGTATGCTGTGCAATATGTGTACGCGATATTTGCAGCGGCATCGTCTCTTGCTGCGCGTTCTTACATATCTTGACCCATCGCCATCATCATCTTCGTCGTCATGAGCATCAGTACTTACGGGTGGATTTATCTTTTTTTATTATTCTGATTTACATATTGATTTTTCATCTGCTACTGTTCGATTTAATGCACGAATTCTTCAATTAAATTAAAAAATCCCAACAGAAGTTTCGAGGACAGCAAAAATTTGATGAAAGTTTCAAGTAGATCCTTATTCAGAAGTATGTGCTTCAATAAAAAGATTTTTAAAAAATTCGAATAGAAAGAGAAACTGAACAATTGAATTTGTATTGAGTTTTTCGAGTAATATTTTGATTAGCTTTTACTGAAGGAAAATATGGAGATAATGTATTGACGAAGTCCAGTTGAAATACGACCGCGGCGCTTTACGCAATTTTTCTCACCAATATTAACGTGCATGCACTAGAATAAATGAATCATTTAATACCAGTAAAGAGTGTCGTACTTTTTTATATGTGTTCTGGACATGAAAAAGTACAAGTCCGAGTACTTTCAAGTTGCTTGGACTTGATTTAATAAGTATTGAGTGATCATGTGATAATAAAGGGGAGTTTTTGCACATAATTAATATTTATGTGGATTGTACTTCTTCCAGGAGCTTATGAGATCAAATTAAACCGACTGGGCATATTTTCTGGGTGTACAAAGTACTCTAAAAAATTTGGAGCAGATCCATGATTCGGAGTTGGGGTGGTTTCCTTGTCAGATGCAATGTACTTTTCAAGCACATTCTTTTGTATTAGCTTAAATTTAATATTTATAATTAATTTATAAAAATAATGATCAAAGAAAAAATTCGTTTCATAGTCAAAAAGTCAGATTCTAAATCATTTTTTCTTTTGGAATAAAGGATTAGGTAGTTTTTACCAGCGTTAATACATAAAAAAAAGAAGTAGCACGTTTTTATTAGGGAAATCTTTGCCAATGAATTGGCGGCAGTTTTTTCTTCTTTTGCGTTTTCTGATGAGTAATGTTTTTGTTGTCCTAGTGTAACTTCCAAAGCATACCGAGTGGGCTACACCACCCAGATGATGTACACTTCTTCGGAACATCAATGATCACAATCACAACCTCGAGCGAGACGATCAAATTTAGTACTGTATATTATACATTATACTGCTTGCGATCAACCGGTTAAAGACATTGAGGACCTTCGGTTCAAGTTGGGCCACGAAGTTGAAACCTCGGAATTTGATAGTTGAAAACACTCATAATGTTCTTCTGAAATTTCAGAGCTTCGTTCGTCGAGTAAATTGTTGTATATTTTAATTTAAAAAGTACACATTTTAACATGACTACCATAGGAGAGCGCAAAGTTTTCTCGAACAATTTTTAGTATAACTTGAGGGTAATATGGAAGATCCTGACCAAATTTCGCGTAATTATAAACGAAATTATTACTTTTCATATCGGACATATCGTCGATTCCACGCATATACTTTACAGTAATTTAATTTAAAAAAAAATTTTATTTGTTTTTCTTTCAAACTCGATGCTAGAGGTTAGTATAGTAGACGAAAGTACATACGGCCGTACGAATGTACCACCGATTGATCTAGTCAAACCAAGTACTATATAAGCTTATTTTATTTTATAGATTTCGAAGTGAAAAAAAAAATGCTAAATTAACTAGTGTAAGTGCAAGAAACACATTGTGTGAAAACAAATGAAAATTAACTTTTCAATAGCTTCCACGCACCGGTCATCACAAAATGTTTTTGCAAGACGGGAAAATATAAAAAGTTGTCAGGTATTTATTTTATGCTCATTACGTGGTTTAGAAACGATGTTTTTTATCAAAATTGCTTGTTTCAGAAATTTGAAAAATTGTACTTGGTTAAATTGCTCATGTAGTTCATTTTCCTCACTCTTAATACAAATAAATCGTCTATGAGAAGGTGAAAAAATGTGCATTGCAATGCCGAGTAAAGTACCCACGACTATAATATATCTATACTGCAAACGTACAAGATTCACCTCGCGAAGGGGAGAAGAGATAAAATTAGTATTAAAAAAGGAGATAGTGCATTTTATACGTAGGTGTCTGCAAAACCACTTAGAGCCATTGGGCTTGTCTATACACGCACTTATCTACCCTTTCTCGACCTTGGTGCATCTGCCGGACGTCGCATTTTTTCATGCATAGTACGCAGAGGCATCACCGGAAAAATCAAGCCCCATAATCTCTAAAGCAAGAGAGAGAAAAACAGGCACAAGGAGAGATTCTTACATGGTTGAGAATACGGGGTAAAAAAAAAATGATAAACACTGAGAAGCCTTTTAATAAGTACATCCACATCGCTTCACAGAGTGAATGCGCGTGTGTGTGTCTGTGTTCATGCTAGTACAGCTATGTACTTGCGACAAGTTAAAAAAGAAAAAAAACTATTATTCACGCATTTATAAGCCCTACTTCATGCTTACACAAACTAGTTACACACTACTTGTGTGCAATGCAGCTATCCACGATTCAACTCCACAGCATAATTAGCTCATTAAAAGAACATGCCAATGACTTTTCACACAAAATTATAAATATTTTTATCTCATAAGAAATGCAATACAATTATTTAGACTCGTCAGAATTACTGTTCTTCACAAAGATCGAAATTTGCTCAATTTCTTCAAATTTTCTCAAATTTTTCTAGAAGTTATTGAATGAACGTGCATAATTTTTTTTTTAATCTGCAGGTGAGTCCGCTATTTACAAAAATAACGTTGGATATGCCATAAAAATCAGAACCAAAGAGGGAGAGAGAGAGAGAGAGAGAAAGAGAGAAGTAAATAATTTTAAAAAATCAGTGATAACTCATTTACTCAACCCTTTTTCTATCTAATTATGGCACGTACACGCAAAATGAAAAATATACCTCTTATACGTGCATTACCATCGTTATTGTGTGATAAGGCGCATGCAGTCTGGTAACACCTCGACAGTAATTCAAATACAACGTTACAACACAAAAAATACAATGAAATATAGAGCCAGACAGCAAGTCCCTGCTAAGAATTCCATGGCGCCGCCAACCGATAATGATTTGTCATCCCTCGCCTCGCCTCGCGTAGGAATAAATATGCGTACGAACGATAAAATTGTTTACTTATTTGGCAGCCTTGTATAAGTCTAGGGACGATAAAAATAAAAGGGAAAAAAGGAAAAATTTTAGTGAAAATGTAACTTCGACGGATAACAAAAATGCTTGATAAAGTAGTTTAAACAAAACAATAGATAAACGTGTCCCCTGATACTTTTGATGTCAATGAAATCTTGTCACCGTCCACGACACATGCATTAAAATTCCATTAAACGATCCCAAACATTTATATACATAAACAGCCATTAAGAAGGGTTTCCAATAGCGATAGCGCAGAATTTATCAAATGATTTGCTTACGCACATGCGAAGAAAATCAGCAGCGGTGTGACCTTTCCAAGGATAAACGCATAGCTATGCGGCAAGTTGGTGCATCAAAGCTACAGACGCAAACACACACGCATACACGCCGTGTATGCAAGGTTATAAACAAATAAACCGGAACGACACGCGAGGTGTGAAATTTTTAATTGAATTTTTCGTTTAAATCGCATACGCTACTCGTGATATGGCGAGGAAAAGAGAGGATCAGGAAAACTTTGCGCGCTTTATGTACACGAGGCGCCATGCAACTTGTATAATTGGATGTGTATATGTTGAGATCGCTATTTATAAACCGGCAGAACTACTTACGGGTGCGTCTAATAGTTGCCCCTTTATTTGAAAGATGACCGAGAATAAAAGTTTGGTAAAATACACTAAGCCATTTCTTTTTGTAATATATGAAATAACTGGATTGAGCATTTAGACATTAATTTTTCACCAAAATGTAGAATTAAAATTTTCAAAATTCCGTGTCAGATCAATCGCGTGTAAATTATATTATATAAATAAGTGTCGATCATAAACATTCGCATTGGGTATTTTTAGATCCTTTGGAATAAACTCAGAGTTTAATACACCCTGGTATGCTGCTATTTTAAGAATTAATTTCACAGAAATAAAAGTCCCAAGAAAAAAGACTATGTTGAACGAAGCAGAAGAAGAAGAAAGAGACGCTGCACAGGATGGCTTGGAGCCTGGCAGAAGAGATACCGGTCGGACTTCTCTTCT